CAGACATGATTAAACAAAACCAGTGTACCTTACTCTGTCCCTCCGTATCTTGTATTATTGATAGCTCAGTTTTCCATTTACATTATTCTCTGTCCCATTCTGTATTTTTACTTGTTGCAGAAAGAAATGCTTGGTCTATATATATATATATATATATATATATATATATATATATATATATATATATATATATATATATATATATATAGACACACATATAAATACCGAGTACTCTTATCCTTCATAAAACAGGGGGCATATTTAATTTCATTTTTTAAAGAAAAAATAAAGAGTCTATTTTGGGACGGACCAAAAGAAAAGTGAGAACTTTGTTTGGGAACAGAGGTGTTGGGAAGCCTCCCAAGCCCCACACCGAAGATAAAAAGGGGAAATTCACTGACATATAAAAAAATTGAGTAAATTCAATAAATGGTCCTTTATGACAGAGGGGTTTCTCTATTTAGTCCTCTATTATCAAATATTGATCCAGTGGTCCTTTAATGGATATGTTTCCACAAATAGTCTTTTTTTGATCTTTTATCATGTTGGTTTTAATTTGAAGACTAAAAGTGTAATTTCACAATGATAATATATCTTTTTTGTCAACCACAATTCCAAAGGTTGTTTCGTTTGCGTCGTTTGTGAATTACAATCGCTTTCTACTGCAACCATATTCTACAAATGTGATCTTTTGTCGGAATCCTAGCCCACAATCATAGTCATTATTTTTGTCTTATCTGCTTAACCAATATTAGAACACGTCACTAGACATAATGTTGATGTCAAATTATACTTTTAGCCTTTAAATTAACACCAACATGGCAGAAGAACAAAAAAAAGACTATTTGTGGAAAGGCACCCTTAAAAAAGGACTACGAGGATAATATTTCATAATAGATGACTATATATGGAAACCCCCCTGTAATAAAGGACCAATTATAGAATTACTCAAAAAAATTCGACCTAACTATATTAGTATGAAGCCTTTTGGGAGATGCCCAAACACGAACCCGTGAAAACTTGACTCAAAGCGGACAATACCATAGTACGGAGTAATCTCAATGATCGCTCGGCCTATTCATTTCATAAATATAAATGAAACCTCTGAATGAAAAATTGGACAGTCAGTCACTCTATGAAAATCTGAATTTTTGAAAGGTGGAGTTTAATGAGAGTATAGTTCAAGAAAAACCTGTACAAAAAGCTCTGAATAAGAGTTATGAAGAGCAGAAACTGCCGGCAAGAGGGTGCAGTGCCGACTACTTGGCAGGGTAACGTTCTCCGGTGAAGGCCAACTCAGACACCAATGCAATATGGTCACTTCCCCATTTCTGAAATCACAAGCCAACCAAAAAACATCAGATGAAAAGAGGGTAAGTAATTAAAGAACTCAACATATATTATAAAAATGCAAATATAAAATTGATCGATTTAATGGTACGGGGATAAAAGTGAACATCTTCAAATACTAAAACGACCATTTGGGTAGTTAAACCAAGTTTATGACAAATGGTGAACCAATGCCATGGTTGCTTTGCATTGGAAGTATAAGACCCATAAAGCGCATAAGAGCAGAAAGCTTTCAGTGAAAGTTAGAATCATACTTTTGTGGGGAATCCCCGGAACCACTGCATGGCCTGTTTTGGAATTGGAGCAAGCACCCTCACCGTTTGAAGACCTTCAGAACGCCTACATGCCAAATCCAATACTTCATATTATTTATAATCAAGGCTATGAATGATTAAGATAACCTTGAGCATCAGGAATGTCCACATTTTCCCATAAAAATGCCTTCCCTTTAGTACAGGAAATTGTCTCATCCGGTAAATTTAACAACATTAGTTGTTTCAATTAGCAAAAATGACATTTAAAATATTGTGGAAATTTACTAACTGTTTCATTAAAACTGGAAAAGAAAAAACATAAAACACGTTAACCATTTGTTTTCCTAGATGAAAAAACAAAAGAAAGGTTCTACATCTTTTTTGTTTGTCCCACCACCACTGACCGATCATGTTGCCACTGCAGCCACTGACCACCTCAAGTGGTCCAGACACTATGCGTGTGACATTGGAAAATGTAAAGTAGAGGAGAGAAGACAGAAGTAAAGGGATCCTTAACTAAGCACCCCATGTGGTGGTTTACCTCAAAATTTGAATTTGCACCCCCATCGAGTGCAAGATCAAAGGAAAAATTAATGATTTGCCAATTGAAATATTGAGGTAAACCAATGCATGCTAAGACAACCTTGACATAAAGGATGTTTACATTTCACTCTCATTCGTGGTGGATAGAAATGGAAATGCATCTCTTAGTCAATGTGTTAAATCTCTTGCTCGCATTTACGTTTCACCCTTTCAACCCTTAACCTTTGATTGTTCAAATATCCTTGTTTGTTTTCTTTAGTCGGGGCCTTTCCAAATCAACCACTCCACCTTTATATGAAGGGCAGAAGGGGTAAGGTCTGAAGACACTTGCTTTTCCCGAACCCCACTTGTGGGATTTCACCGGCTCTTGTTGTTGTAGACTTGTCAATGCATTTTCCTAAAATGCATCAAAGAGATTTAAAGGCATCTGCATGGGTGCACGTGTTGGAGGGGGGCACATGCTTTTTGACCAATCTTTTAAAACTTGAAATAATTGATACCATAATAAACATGAAAAGGATCCATTCAAAGAAAGCCATCATTATTCATCTTGCAACGCAAATAGCTCACAAGACAAAAATTACGCAGAGCAACAATAGCTGAAACCCAGTTCAATCATGAGGTAAACCGTAAAGACTTACCATATATAATCAACTGTGCCCAGGAAGCAGCGGTGGTAACTGGTAGCCTCAGGTTCCCCGATAGAATCTCTTGTTCCTGTGACATCCTGCAATACAAAATGGAGTTTGGAAGAGAGTAATATGTGATTAAAATATACAACTGCCTTGCTGGGTAATATTTTTAGGTTAGAGAAATTTTAAAAAAGTATATCTGAAGGCTGAAGCCATGCTTTTAACCAAGGGCTACCTCAACATCTCGATAAACACTGCTTAGCTTAAAAGGGTGTTCCATTATTGTGCAATCAACACTTCCTGTTGCGGTTTGAATCTCCATTGGTGTCCAAGCTGATGGATCATAAGTGGCCTGAAAATCAGCATCACGGTAATCATTGAGGAAATCTTCCCCTAACTGAAGTGACTTTTCGCTGTGAGAAACGGCAGATGGCTTAGACTGTTCATCTAATTCTTTTAACTCAGATACTTGAAAGTCAGTGGATTCAGATGAAAAGATATCAGATGCACCACATATCTCAGACTTAAATATTTCAGAGTCTTCACCAGAAGACTGATCTGCTGCCCCTCCAAACACCCTATCCAGTGATAAATGCTCCATATTCTTATCTAAAGGCGCAACAGCCAATTCAGATGGCTTGCTAAATCTATCTGTTTTTGGAGCAAAATCTTCAGACGACATACCATTATTTTCATTTCTAGGATGATTTTCGCCAATAGACCCTTCTTCCTTGTAGCAGATTGACTCAAGATCTGAATGTGTGTCTGGATCCAAAATATTTATGTGTGAGTTTGATATAGCATCTGAGCTGGAATTTTCACCATGCCTGCTTTCAATAGTCTTAGAGCGGTCTTCATCGAACGTTGATGATATTGAATATTCATTACGAGAGATATATTGACTATCCTTTGAGGCACTGAGAGGAACAGAGGGAGATCTGTGGGAAGCGTGGAAATCTTCTATTGTTGCCTCTGTACTTTTATGAATTTTATCTTCAAAGTGGAGACCCACAATTGATGCACCGGACTCATTTACTATAGAATTCTGAGCTTGGCATCTGCTAACTCTGGAAAAACCGTCTCCTGATGCAATTTCTGGAGAGCATGTGCTTACATCTAATTTGGAACATCTCTCTCCGCCTTCTCCTTCGTGTGAGACTGTAAAGCCTTTAACGAAGTCCGCTGAATAAGGGACCCTAGATATTAATCGAAGGAACACTTCAATCAAGACATATAAGAAAGGATGTGTGTATACCCAGTGCATTGACATCATGCAGGATATTTAGGAGCATAAACAAATCTATTTGCAAGAAATCATTGTAACTTGAACGTTTTAGGGCAAGTTGACTCTAGTAAAAGTTATGTGTTCCAATATATTTTTCTGTTCCATATCAATGAACTAAATAAGCGAACTGCAAGTTTTAATATATAGGCCATATATAAACTTCAACACTCCCAAATCCATTGTACTGCTAGATTCATCTCTCGGTTCTTAAGTAGTGAAGTAGTAAGAAGCAGTTTGTTTAGCTTTTCGTACATCAAGGAATCATTTCTAATAAGCCAGTTTCACATGTTTGCGAGTACCATAAGTCATTGTTAAATGTGGCATCTAACGATATGTAGCACATTTCAAGGCCAAAGTTTTCAATTTAATAGGTTATACACGATTCAAAATTTCAGAGACCAATAAGATTTACTCCCTCCACCCTATAATGATCTTCCCAGTTTGGTTTACGAGGTTTGACTGAAATTATTTTCAATTTAATTTATTTGAATATAGGTGTAAAATTAAGAAATAAAAATTATATATTTTAAAACTACATCAAAAGTTCTACAAAACAAGAGGTGACATGACTATATTATTTTATCAGATAACTAATGAAAATAGGTAAAGAAAATGATTAATGTTTGACCATGTGAATAGTGACGGGGAAGATCATTTTAGGATGGAGGGAATATTAAATAAAAAAAGCTTTAGGGTTTTAAAAATGACAGTACCCTAGGATAGCAAACACAAATATATTTTATGAATGTTAGATATTTAAATTTATATATTAAGGTTTTGTAATTTTGGATTTATTAATGATAAAGAGGTTTGCAACACAATAAAAATAAAAAAGAAGCATGAGTTTCTCTTTTGGATCCTTAGAAAAGTCCATAAACATATGTAAGATATGCATCTTAGTTCTTTATTTGAAAATTCAATTACAGTGAATCCATACCTCTTTACAGAAGGTGAGGGCTTTGGTGAATATAATGTTCCAGACTCCTGCCCAGAAACCTTATCTCGAGCTACTTCTGATATGTCCAGCTGCGAAAGAAAACAAAACAAATAGAACATTAAAATATGTACAACGCAAAAATATTGTAGGGAGATGAAACAAAAGAAAAGCAAATGCATAGAGACAATTGACCTTTTGTTCAGCAATGAAGTTGTAAAGCGGACTCTGGTAAAAAGAAGGAAAGGCATAAATAAAAGAAAAAAACAGGCTTACATTACTAACATGATTACAGGGCCACAAAGTGAGGTGATAGTTCATAAAAATAGGAAGTAAAAGAACACACCTTGGGTGTGCTGTTAAAATCTCCACAAATTACAACTGGAGCACCATTCCAAAGTTTTGAAAATTGATCAGCCCTATCAAGAAGCAGTCTTATCTATGTACAGCAAAAACAAGTTGAGTAAAAAAGATTTCATCAGTAAGATGACTAAGTTCTTTCTGCTTAAGAAATATAATGTATGCCAGTATGCCACTAAAAAAATTTCAAATGAAAGGAGACCAGCTTTAATGACAGCAATGAAGACTAGAACCAGTGATAAAATATGGATATTTATGGCTACTAAGGTACGGAGTAACAAACAAAAAATAAATACTTAATTGGTTCTTTTTTTGAACTAAGGTATGCATTTTGCTTCATATAAAATAGGAAATAGGTCAATTTCGTAAGTACACAGAAGAGGACAGACGTACTATGTTTGTATGTGTGCCCAACAACAACAACAACAACACGCCTTGTAGGTATGTGTGTGCAACTGTGCATAATAAAAGGCGGGGAGTAATTGGAAGGCAGCCAAAAGTTTCAAAGATTAACGGCTATGAGCTTCCCTCCAAAATCCAAGAGAAACAAATGCAAAATATGAAGATAGCATTTAAAAAAAGAAATATAAAAGAGCATGCATTCATCGAGTACTAATACATGATCAGGCAAATTCATTTGGTGCTTCTACACGATTTTTGGAAATTGGAACCAATCAAACACCTCAGTGGAACAAAGGCATCTTATGTAGGAGGCATAAAACTCAAAACCAGGCGACAACCAAATGCTTGAAGGGAAAACCAGACATTATTGCTATATTAGCTTGACCTAATCCAATAGTCTTACTATATACCACAGTCAGCATGCTTATTAAAATGCAATCAAACATGGCCTTTAGGAGACAAAAGTGCAAAACAGCACAAGCTACGAGAATATCCATAAGGTCTCTAAGCAATAAGTTGATAAGATATGGCATGAGCCACATGGCATGCTTACTAGGCTGATGTGAGCCAACCTAGTACCCCAATTTTGCTCAATAATACCTGTCCAAGCTTCATCTCACCCCTTCGAGGATTGAAAAGCACGTGAATATTACATATTACAACTTTATTAGTATTTGATGAGCTGCAAAAGAATTGAAACGAAATTACATGAGATGTCCCTGAGATATAAAGAACTGTGTACATGTCATAAACCATTTGTAGCAATTGATACCATACCAACATATATGAAGTATAATTTGATGAGAAAACTAGTTAGCAATTATGGTCCCCATACAATAACAATAGATATCCATGAAAGAGTATACCAGCTGAAAACAATGCTTTTGAGTTCTAGATAGATCTACACATTAGAGTTACTGCACTAAGGCTTCACACGTTCAACAACAACAATAATTATAATATGGCTTAGTATTTTACTTCCCTCTGCTAACTAACAAGATAGCAGAAAATGGTCATATATGTGTAGTTCAATCCTCCTTCACCAGACCGTACTGTTGCAAGATTCAACAGGCTTGTTGGAATCCACCTTCACCAACATTGTTAAAGGGGAAAGAAAATATTCTCAATCCTTGTTGCAACACGAAAGACTGACACACCATTTATTTTATTGCCTTTTGATGTCTATGTGATATTGTGATGTATCATTTTGAAAGAGTGCAGACTNGAGTGGAACAGGCCATTTGAAACAAACAAGGTTTGAGGATCTGTTGCACCACACCCAAAAAAAAGATTAGGTATATAATCTTCAGTGTCACTCTTCACCCCTTTAGAAAATTCGATCTGCAATCATTTCACATAGGTATGTACATGCATATACATGCATGGTAATTATTTCACCTCTAGCATATAGTACTCCATCCCTCCACAATATGACTTCTCAGTTACTATTCTGGTTTCTTGATAACTTTTGTTTATTTGTGTATTTTCATTGATAATTTGATAAAATAAAAGAATTTTGTCAGATCTTGTTTTATACTCCCTCTTTCCCAAAATAATGTTCCTAGTTACTATTCACAGGTCAAACTAACTCTACTTTCTTTATACATTTTCATTAATTATTTGATAAATTAAAGAGTAAATTCTATAAAAGGTCCCCAGTTATAGGTCGTTTTACATATTTAGTTCCTACATATCAAATATTACTAATCTAGTCCCCAATTGTTATATTCATTTCCACGAATGGTCCTTTGTTAACATTTTCGTTAAGAACGTGGATAAAATTGTCACACTCTTTTCTCTCCTCAATTAAGCTTCCTCCCTCCCCTCGCACTCCTTTCCCAAACTCGTCGCTGAGTCTGAAGCTTTGAACCCAAAACCAAAATTATCACTCTTCTCTCAATTGTTTGTCTAACTGGTGGAACCGAAATTTGAAACCAATAACCTTCATGAGTTTTAATGTTTATTTTCTTTGCAATTTCTTGAGACTAACCGATAAAACTCATCCATAAGGCTTATTGGTTTTGATTTTAGGTTCCACCAGGAAGACTAATAATTGAGAGAGGAATGATCATTTCAGTTTTGGGTTTAGAGCTTCAAACTAAGCGACGAGTTTGGGAAAGAGTACGAGAGGAGAGAGGAAGCTTAATTGAGGAGAGAGAAAAGTATGAATTTACAATTGTATCCATGTTCTTAACAAAAACGTTAACAAAGGACCATTCGTGAAAAATGATATAATAATTGGGGACTAAATTAGTAATATTTGATATGAAGGGACTAAATATGTAAAACGACCTATAACTGGGGACCTTTTATGGAATTTACTCTAAAATAAAATAACTTTGACACCACTTGTTTTGTAGAACTTTTGATGCAATTTTCTAATATTGACTATATTATTTTTATTTTTTAATTCTACACCAATTCTGATATAGTTACCCATCCACTGCATCACCAGTCCGCATCTAAACTCAACATTGAATATATGGTCAGTCCATCTATATTACAATAGTTACACATCTATATTACGATAGTTACACATCTATATTACACATCTAAAATAACCTTAACACCACTTGTTTTGTAGAACTTTTGGTGCAATTTTCTAATATTGACTATATTATTATTATTTTTAATTCTACACCCATTTTCACCTATATTGATTTGAAAATAACTTCAGAACACATCGTAAACCGAACAAGAACCTTATTTTGGGACGGAGGGAGTAAAACTATTGATGTATTTTGGAAATATGTAATTTGTACTTTTTATTTCTATACCAATAACAACAACCACGAGAGTCTGGGTAGGGTGTGGGTACGCAGACCTTACCCCTACTCTAAAGTCGATAGTAAAGATTTGTAAATTGTGCCCCCTACTTTTTATTTCTTTACCAGTTTGTAAATTAAATAAATTTAAAAGAGGTGGGATTCCACACGTTGTTCGAAACAGGAAGTTAATTTGTGGACGAAGGGAGTAGTATATTTCAAACTTTGACACTATTGTTGAAATGTGGTAGCAGCCTTGTACTGAGACACCAGTACACCAAGTTTTATACTCTAAATTTTAAAACTTCAGAATGGTTTACTCCACGAAGCATGAAAATTTTCAAAAAGTAAAAAAATGCATTGTGGAAATTTGTTTAGAATAGAGAGAAATGTTGCGTGGATTGATTTTGGGATATCCCAAAAAGGAATGTGTGAACTTCACTTTGAGATGGAGGGAGTGTATACTTTGAAGTTCAAAAATACATTGCAAAACTACATTAAAAAATATTTTACAGCAAGAAACAAAATGAAATCGGGACATTTCCCACAAAAAAAAGTACCATGTAGTGGAAGTTGTGCTACTGCGACAAGCATGAGGATCCAATAACTGTCAACGAGAATTCAAGATTTAAAATACAGCACAAGATGTTAAATTCATTCTTTAAAATCTACAGAAAAGGTCAACTAACACTTTGGGATTATATACCTCAAATACACATATCTGGGCAACATTATCACGAAGACCATGCTGTTTGAATTCAATGAAATCTTCCTGAAGCAACTTCAATCTGTTAAGTATCAGAAAACATATTTAAATTAGATAATACTACGTATTAAGTTACCATCTAAGGTTCCATACTTTGAAACATGGTAAGTGCTTTTGCAATGATGAGACTCAAAGAAAGTTGTCTTCATCTCACAAAAAATGACAGAACAATGAGTGCTCAATTCACATATAGAGATCACCAACTTCAGTTACCAATATGAGCTACAAGGGAAAAAACAAAACAAGACAAAGTGCAAATTCAACTTGCCAAGGATTTACTAACTGCAGTGCATTGAGAAAACAAAAAATGATAGATCACATACAACGGAAAAACAAAAACATGAAGGTAAAAAAGCAGGATTCAACATTACATTACGTAAGTACTAAAAGTCTTTAAGATTAAGGGAAGAAATTTTGTGTATAAGTCAAATCTAATTTGTTACCCAAATAAGTAAACATGTTTCGGAATGCTATACGATAAATTTTTGCCGCGATGACTAATCATAACTTGTGAGTTCATAACTGCCAAACTATGTCAGTATTTAGCTCATGAACACAGGCAAAAAAAGTGAACTTATTTTGTGCAGCGTAATTCAATTAAGCATTGCAACTGTAGAACTTTTACCTAGAACCACGCCAAAATATTGCACACCCATCCACTGCATCACCAGTCCGCATCTAAACTCAACATTGAATATATTACAGAGTTACACATCTATATTACAATAGTATTCATTTATTTATGAGGCCGGTTCCCTTGACATTGGGAATCAATGTCATGGGATGACCCGGGGGTGCTACGGTGCCCTGTTCGTAAAATTGACAATTCCTACCCCCTCTAACCTCCCCGGTAACCCCCCACCCTGCCCCGGACCGAACACACACCCCCACCCCCTTCAATTGAACCCTTTAAGTTAATTTTGACTTTAGACTCAAATTATGACCCCAAAGTCAAAATTAACTTGGGGGTGCAATTGAAGGGGGTGGGGGAGTGTGTTCGGGCCGGGCGGGGTGGGGGGGTTTACTGGGGAGGTTGGAAGGGTAGAAACTGTCAATTTTACGAACGGGGCACTGGAGCACCCCCGGGTCATCCCATGACATTGATTCCCAATGTCAAGAGAACCAAGGGGTTTATTTATTGATACTAAGGCACCAAGAAGATGTCATGTAATTATGTAAACAACAAAGATTGTACAACAAAAATACTAAGAGATAAAAGTCAGAATAAAGCCATAATGTTTTAGATCCATGACTTCAGAAGTTAAGAATCACATAAGTGATGGACATCTCAGCATAAACTATGGTTTTAAAGTGTGTTAGTATGGAATGGAAATCTGATCTTTCATAATTACTGCTTCCCTGTGAACAAGGATGGATAGATACTCTAGGCTCAAACGAGAAGGGGAAATTATAGGCCTAGAGTCAGATTTTCTTTAAGTAGCTCTACAAGTACAAGCTCTCTTTTTCTGTAAGCAACGCACATTGATTCTATAATCAAAATGGCCATCAAGAACTAGTACGAATAACCTCTATTGCTCTTCATAGGCAAAACAAGATAGATCTCTTAACACATTATTTGAGGGTGAAAATAAGGCTCTTAGTTATTATTATTGTCATAATAAAGATAGTGAAAGAATCTTGATCCCAACACCTTCCATATTCCTTTGTATCCACGCAACTGCAATTCAGCCTCCAAGTCCTGAAATCTGTCAACCTCCTGATAAATTTAGAAATGAAAAAAAAAATCAAATGAAAAGTCATGCCGATAGCAACACTCAACAGAATGTTCGAGTTGGAAGGGGGTGGGGATAATTTGAATCCAATTTTGACTCCATTTGTTTCACCCAACGAGATTGTTCATGCTACACAGAATTGAAGTTGAAGATTACAAATACAAAACCGGGATGATTTCCTAATTTCCGTCTCATTTTGTAGAAACTGGCCTCCTCTTTCCATGCTACATGAGTACACATAGAAAATGCTGTCCACATTTGAACATTATTAATATACATAGAACACCTTTTTTCGGTAATCAATTGTCCAAGAATATGGAAACTGAGTAGGTTGACATTGGGTGGATTAAGTCATGAAACATAATTAATATACATACACTTTTTTGTCAGCAAACACATTTTCCACCAATACATATTTCCCAACAAACTCAAATGAACAACCATGACTGATAATGGAATCCCATACATAGTTCAAAAGGTTCAAGTATTATTTCAACTAACACCAAACACCTCTTTGTTGTACTCCCTTTGTCCCCTTTTGTTAAAAATACTTTCCTTTTTCTCTATCCCAATACAAATTTTATTTGTCTTATTTAATACGGAGTATATGCAAACTACTTTCTTTATGGTAGGGGCAAGGTCTGCATACACACACCCCTCCCCAGACCCTTCTCTCATGGGATCCAACTGGGTTGTTCTTGTTCTTTCTTTACATTGTTTCTTTCCCAGTTCCATCAAAGGTCTCTTCATTTTAATTGCAACCAGCTGCATAACACCAAATGATTTTTCTACCTTTTGATGGGATAAGATGGTTCATGAGTCACGAGATATATAAAACAGCAAGTATCAAGTTATGAACCTGTAAACAAAGTACATCAGCTGACCAAAGTCCAAGTTCAAAAACAATACTTCTCTTACGCGACTCCCAGTCCATAATATGCAGAGGTATGTGAAAGTAAAGCTTCCTCCCATGGTTGGTTGCAAGGTAGTCAGCTAGAATATTATATGATAGAACAGTGAATCGGTCTGCAAGAGTTGTAAACTTGACCACTTAGTAATGAGCATAGTTAAGGAAATCTTTTGCCAACCAAATCCACAGAATGAACTAGAAAATGTCTGACCCATTTGGTTACGAACATAGTTGAGCAACCGTGTAAGCAAGTAAAATCCCAGAAACGTGTGAGCCATTTGGTCAATTTGTGGTTTTATGATTTCAATAGATATGAGATATAGGCCGTAAAGTGAACTAAATTACTTAGAGTTATATGAAAACTGCTACCAGAAATCTCAAAACAACTTTTTCAGGTTTCCATATGGTGGAATATTGCAGATTAAGGAGATGCTTTTGCGATCAGATATTTATTGAAAACTTACACAATTTGGTTTGAGACTTTGAGAGTTAGAGAGAAGTGGAAAGGAAGGAAGAGGAGGTATTTTGATCCATACGACCACACCCCTTGTTTGATTAAGAAAAAAAGTAAGAGGGGATTGAAATCTACTTTCAAAAATACTCCCACCCCTTCTTCCTACAAAGCTACAACTCGTCTCCAAATTAGGGACTTGAGAAGAAAATGGAATAAAACAATATTGCAAATTTGTTTTTTTCCTGTAGTGTATGACTTTATCACACAACTTTCTTCCCACCTTGCATCTAAGCACATCGCGTATCTCTTGCTTATCTTATTATCTCGAAAAATGAACATTCATAATTATATACAGAGAACAAATATATTTAAATTATCTGTTATTGAATTATTTGGAAGTTAATGATAACTGAATATATTATAAATATCTATAAATGTGTCATGTATTTAAATATATACCAAATATGTTTGTTAATAAATATACTCCCTCTGTCCTGTTAGAATTTACTAGTTTTGACTCTTTCAATAAGCTTTGGCCAATAATACATTTTTGTAAAAAATGATTTATAACATAAAAGGATCATAAAAGAAATGCACAAAAGAACAAACGAAATATTTTTGTAAAATATATTGATTAATATCATAAATCAAAGCTTAAAATTAGTACTTCACCTTGGAAAATGAGAGAATATTGGGATTCCAACACGCGGATGAGGGTCTCCTAGTTGATCATCTTGATGATCCCACGTGTCTCAATAGCATTATAGCGGCAACATCATACTGACACATTGGTTGTCACACTCCTTGGACTTTATTCTGAAATCCAAAACTCCTCTTTTGCTAAAATTCCCACAAAACCTCTCCCTCCCCCTCTCACCGAAAATGGCAAATGAAGGAACTGCAATACTTGACCTACCGTCCTGATGTTTTGGACAAAATTATGATTAACTTACCCCCCCCCCCAAAATCCCAAAAGCCTTTTTCGATAGCACGGTCAACTTCAAACTCTATTCTGATATAAGAAGTGTCAAATTCTTGGCGTTTCATTTCCAACATCAACTACGGTAGCAGTCATATCATGCTACGCACTGTTGGCCCAATACCTCTCATTGTCCTTCAAAGCATCTTCCGTTTCACCTTTATAATGGCAAGTACTTCATCTACACACATGATGATGATAACCTCGCTTTTTACTATAACATTACGGGTGATGATCTTCTCATTCAACCTCATGAAATCTACTTTAGACTAATCGGAAGTGTTAGGGATTTAGTCTATTTGGTTATTGATAAAGAGGTTTCAGGTGCACGAAGCTTATGAAATTTATTTGTAGAATATTCCTACCATCTACAAATGGCTTTGGTTTTTGTTTGTCCCGATAGATTGGTCTATTTGAAGGCCTCAAGTCACTTTAGGTTTTGGGTTTGATTTGGGATATAGTAACTATAAGGTTGTAAGATTAGGTAATGGTGACTTTTTTGAGTCTAGGGTACAATCTTTAAGTTGAGGAGTCAAATTTGGGAGGACATCACCCTGAATGTTAGCACCATAATGTGAATCCTTTTAGATTGACCCAATCCGCAACACTCCATAATGTCATGCACTAGCTTGCACATGATACAACACGCCAATACATAGTGATCTTGTTATTTATTTTTGTGTCAAAGCAATTTGGCACAATGGAGCTGCCCCAAGCCATTGCAGAAAACCGTGAAGAAGGTATTCCATATCCAATTTTTAGGTTTGAGGATCAAGCTTTATTGAGCTCTGCTTTGTCCATGATGGGCACCTTTGGTTGATAAAACAAAGATCCAACACGTATGGACGAGGATTTTTCCGGTGGAAAATGAGAGAATATGGGGATTCCAACAAGCGTAAATCCCTATATTCTCTCATTTTTTACATATGAAATCCTCATTCATACGTGTTGGATATTTGTTTTATCAACTAATTGTGCCCATCATTAACAAAGAGGAAATAAAAAGATTGAAATAGCCGAGAGAATACCTTTTTGGGGTTGTCTCATAATGGCTTGGGCAGCTCCAATTCGCCAAATGCTTCAACACATGAATCAAATAACAAGATCACCCTTTGTTGGTGTGTTGTATCATGTGCAAGACAATGCATGACATTATGGAGTGTTGCGGATTAGATCTTTTGTCAAAGACTTCATACCATGGTGCTTAACATTGCGTAAGGTGATGTCCCTCCAAACCTGACTCTTAGTGAAGTACTAATTTTAAGAATAAATCTATGCAGAAAAAATTGCCTTGGGTGAATTAATACAAATATTTACATTTCCTAAAAAATACATACCCTCCATTGAAACAAACTCTCTTAAAGAACAATGCTGAAAGGGTTAAATGTTGTTTGCCAATATCATTTTTATGACTTCATTGTCTGCACAAGTAGTACTTATAAGAAGCCAATGTGATTATACAAGGCATTCTTTACTCCGTTAGGGTTTTAGACTGTTAGGGATGTGACCATACGTAGACAAGCTTGTAAAAAAGGAACATGCCTTGAGAAGACGTATCTTCACATAATCTAGATGAGTTTACAATTGCAATACATGAGTTTCTTCGGTTAAATTTCTCAATGTCAATAGCTGTCTTAAAGGTTTGGGTGGCCATATTCTCACACAATTAAAACTGATAGGGAAATACACTTCTTTCTTCTTCTACTTAAGGCACCTTAAAGAGTAATATATAGGTAACCAAATATAGCTAATTAACTCGCCATGAAGAAACGTAGATGATGCAAACTTCATCTGTTCCTTAAAATATACTACGTAAAAAGATTGATCTTTTTTCCTTGAAGGAGTCCTTTTTATAATAAGCTTTCTATGACGAACAATGCAGCTCGTTTTCGAAATGAACAGTTCAAGGAAGACCACAGAAGCAGATGAGACACACCATAGCCAATAAGAGTTGAAGTAAGTTACCACAATTAGAAGGAGGTTCGGTTTTAGCATGCTCCCAAACCCGGAAATTCAAAGCCTTGGGAGGTCTCGGACGCGGGCGGAACTCATTAATGGGTGATGTTGGCCTGAACTGTTGATTCTGATAAAAAGGTGGCCCACCTGGTGGTGGGTACACAGGTCTGCTAAACTGCTGATCATTAATTGGAGGAGGCAATGGCCTGTAAAATTGCTGATTAGAGTATAAATTTGGAGGAGGATAATGGCTGAAAGAAGGTTGAGGCGGACGATAAGGCCCCTGTTGAGGCGGGAAATTCAAATTGCCTCCGGGGCAGTACGATGGTCGAAACCCTCGATTAGGGTCTTGTACGGGCCGGTAATCGTAGCCGCCGGGTACTTGAGGGCGTCCCTGTTCATCTCCAGACGGCCGATCGGAGTAACTTCTCAGACCTAGGCCTCTGCCGCCGCCTGGCTGTAAACATTGTTCTATCCAATTTAGTGTGCAATTTAAAAGACACTGTGTCACTGTGATGGTATGATATTTTACTATAGGAACTCACTTGGGGAAGACGGTACATGAACGGTACGGATGCGGCCACGGCGGCGGAGGCAGGGCGGCGGAAGGAAGGAGGAGAATGCTTCATTGGGACTTGGGAGCTCCACTTGAGCCCGTGATAAATTTGTTAGAAGTATACTTTTTATGAAAAAAATGCTACGAGTACACTACATCACTCGGATGTCATATATATTTGCAAATAAAATAAACAAGAAATAAATAAATAAAAATGACTAGTAGAAAAATTAGTGATGTACGTTTAGGGTATACTTTTGGTGTATTCCTAGCATCCACCATTTTTTATACTCCTTGAAACTTCTAATTAACTTTTGAAACTTAAAACAGAAAAAAAATCATACATAAATCTACAATTTTAAGTTAATACTCCCAAATTTAATGCAAAATGGACACATTGGTCTTATTCTAAGAAGTGGAATGTGTGTCATTTTAAATAATGATGATTGAAAATTTTTTATATGTGAGTTACACAACAAAAAATAAAGAATATAAATCGATTGTATTAGGAGATAAATCTGACAATATCTCTTACAAAATATGAACTTTAAAATTCTTTAATTTTTATCTAAAGTATTATTCAAATTTATCTAAGTTAAATAAAGATATTTCAAGAAAAATATATTTCATTTTCAATTAATGCATTTTGGTTTAAAACTACCCAATGTATTTTCATACGAACTACTGTCAAATATAGAAATAACATAACTAATGCATTTTCTATATTTTCTATCATCAAGTCACAAATAAAAGTTGTTCAGTCACCATTTAGAAGAACATGAATTTTACTTAGTTGGTAGTTTGTGTAATGATCTTAAATTGAGTAATTTCTATAAGACTATTGAAGTATTAACGTAAAATTGCAAGTTTCTAAGAGTATTCACGTGAATTTTGCCAGACAAAAATAAAATTAAACTTCAAAGTTTAAAATATCCAAATTTAGTTTTAAATTTTTGTTATGTCAACTCAATTCATTTCAATTAGGTGTGAATTTGAACTATTGAGTTCGTTTAAACTAGAGACTTTATTTTCTCGAGCTCGTTGCACGTATAATAACTTTTGTTAGTTATCTCAATCCCCCGTGTATCTCCACATTTCCAAAAGTGACAAGTAAAAAAAGTCTAATAATTTTATTCTATGTATATGTAAGTATAAATTTTACTTTCTCAATCTATTGTCAGTACCAGTGCAACGTAATGACTTTCATATATACACATTTCATTTATCTTTTACTTAAAAACTTACCTTTTTAAAAGAACATCAAATTCATAAGTATACAAAGTATGTTTTTACGTAAAAATATACGAGTCCGTACAAAATGGACTACATGATAGAAACTAGTAGTACCTTTTATAAAATGGAGTATAAAAGATGTCCTTTTTTCGATATTTGAATTTAAATGTTTGACTATTTTATCATGAATTTTTACATTTTTTTTAGTTTTAGAATACATATTAGAAAACATATTTCTAATCAAATTCTATGTAAATGATTCTTGTATGAAACAGATACAAGTGATAAATGCCTCCCCCTGACATCACTAAATATATAATAAGAGCATAAAACAAAAATAATAGAGCATGCAAAAAGGGGGGGCACAAATAATAGAACACACACGATAATTGATTTGGCACAAATAATACAATTAAGGCCATGTTTGGCATCAGGATCAGAGATTAGCGTTAGAGTTTTGAAAAAGCTATCTGACGGTAGCCTTTAGCGTTAGCGTTTTCAGAATTAATTTGCACCGTTAAAATTTTATCTAAAACGCTAACGTTGTTACCAAACAAAGCCTAATTCTTGAACATAATAACCAAACTCCTAGAGTATGTATAAGACATAAATACGGAGTATTTGCATTACAGAGGCAATAACAGAAAATTGCTAACAGGTACCCTCAGTTTTGTGATAAGAACTAACAGGTCCCATCTTTTTTAAAAGTATACTCTAAGGTACCTTTAGTTATCTGAAAACTAACTCCGGGGAGACTTTCCGTCTATCCCTCCGTCAAATTCATTATCTCCGTTAACTTTTCATCTTCTTCTTCCTAAAAATTGTTGTCAAGTACCCTCAATTTCGTAAAAATAACTTTCAGGTCCCATCATTTCTAAAAATATATTCCGGGTACCCTAAAATATCCAAAAACTTGCTTTGGAAGAATTTTCCTTTATTATTATTATTATTATTATTCTGAGATTATTATTATTATTATTATTATTGTGATTGTGATTGTTATTATTATTATTATTACTATTACTAATGTTACTTTTATTACAGAGTACTATTATTTATATTAGTGACTTCATCATTATCTTCCGCAGCTGTAACTCGCTGCCACATTGCCTATTGTGTTGCATTGGATTTTCGCTACACGCACTAGAATAATAATAGTAATAATAATAATAATAATAATAAATATAATAATAATAATAATAATCGTGATAGTAATAGTAATAGTAATAATAATCGCAATAATAATAATAATAGGAAAAAAAGGAAAACCCCCCATAGTAACTTTTTGGATATTTTAGGGTACCCCGAAGTATATTTTTAAAAATGATGGGACCTGAAAGTTACTTTTATAAAATTGGGGGTACCTAACAGCAATTTTTAGAAAGAAAATGATGAAAAGTTAACGGAGAATATGAATTTGATGGAGGGAAGGACCAAAAGTCTCTCCGGAGTTAGTTTTCGGATAATTAAAGGTACCCCGGAGTATATTTTTTAAAAAGATGGGACCTATGAGTTCTTATCACAAAACCGAGGATACCCTACAGCAATTTTCTGGGCAGATAATGTATGTAATTGGTAACAAATGTCTTGAATGGAACAAAATTTTTGTTTCTACTCCAATATTAACTCTTCATTCAGAGAAAAAAAAACTAATTGCATTCCAATGGGATTCAAGAAAACAATACAGTAGCAAAAAAGCGCAAGTTTGGGGAATTGGAAAATCTGAACCGAATCGCTCTATTTATTCGACTGGGATTGAGGGATGAACTTGGTTACCACATAGCAGTCTGGGGGCGTTATGTTCGTGTAATAGTTGTGGATGGTATCCGTAATCTGGAACCCGAATTTCTGGTAGAATTTGATGGCATCGTCATTGTTTGTCTGGACGTGCAAGTAAATCTCACTGATATTTTGCTTGGCACAGAGATCAAGAACATGATTCAACAGCTTTGAACCTGCAGGTAAGTCGAGATCAACCAGAGGCGAACTAGGAGTTCAAATGCTTGAGTTTACCAAGAAATAGTTCAATCACTTTATGAGCAAGAAAAGAAACTTGGGAGGATCGATGGTTTGGGGGAGGGTGGAGGAGGGGGGAGGTCATAAAGTCAACAAGGCAACAGAATCATGTGAATGTGATTTATAAAGCAGAGAGTTTGGGGAAAAAACTAAAGAACAGTCTCACCTTAATTAGGTTCATGATTTATTTATGCAAAGCGGTAAAAAAAAGCAAACAATGAGAGGAAGATTACATATAGGGAGTAGATTGCTTACCAACACCTAATCCTCGATAAGGAGCCAAAACTCCCAAGGTCATGATGTATACACGCACGGCACTTCCTTCCTTCTTCTCAAGCCGACATGCAATTGAACCAACACAAATGTCACTGTAGTATGCTGCATAAGAAGCAATACACCAGGCCAGTATAGTCTTTAATATCGTATTATTTAAATGACAATGTTCACGTGGCGAAAAAAATCTTATTGCCTTGAACTAAATATCTAGACATTGAAAATACAAACTTATTTCTGTAAAAAAGGCAATGCTTAGTAGCATAATTTCTATCCATATACATGAAGTAGTGAAAAAAAATTGCCATCAGAATGTCACGAGCATTATACATACCCCCATCTAAACCCTATGCGTGGGATTATTCCTTTTTTGGGGGGAGTGGGGGGGGCAAAAAGAAGCCCATTAGTCATTGCAGACTACACTGATGATGATGATGACATTAACTTTATATTTTCCATGCTTGAGCTCTGATATACGATAATGGCAGGCGTAGAACTAACTACTTTCTACTTTAGATTGACCAATAACAACTGTGAGTTCCTCAGTGTGTGTTTGGTCGGAACGGTTTGAGGCGGGCAGGGGGGGTGCTACCTTCCCCTCATTTGGCGGGATAGCCAAATCATTTCCCCCCCCCCCCCCTCCCCTTCTCTAATTTTGGTTCTTTCCAATAAGATTGAACCTCATTTAAATATATAAATAAATAGAACACACTAACTATGCATCCTTGATTCCTCATAAAAACATATCAAATGTATAATGGTATAACTATTACCTCAACTCCCCTCCCCGCTTGAACCAAACAAGGGGATAATAAAACTCTACCCTCCCCTTCAACCAGACACCCTTAAGAACACCATGCTACACACAACCATTAATGCCTTAAGCAATAATGCATAAGAAGTCATTCCAATAAAGCTTTAATACATAAAAATTAAAAACGAACCAATGAGAAAACTTTTCTCATCAACAATTCTAACCATACCTCATGTCCTATAATCCATGAGGCCTATCAAGCCATATCTTCCAAACTACCGTAAACACACCCAAACTATCACGAACGATTTTCTAAAAAGTTCATCGATAAGGGACCACTTCTGTCAAATTTCAAACATGGAGAGAAACATAACCAATGAAGCCTTTGTTCTCTCCAAATAAGTCTTCTCTTTACAGGTCACATTCGTATGGCATGAATCTTCATTCATGCACATTATGAAAGTAACCACTTGCAAGTGACATAGATGTTTTTCTTTTCTTATCTACAATCAAACTCTTTCTTCCAAAAAAACAAAACATATATATATACCATCCTATGGACCATTTGGCCCTTTCCTGATTGTTTCCATCTTATAAGAAAAAACTGCTTGGCTATTGAAACCAGCTTCAAAGACCCAAGTCCAGTACTTCAATTAGTGCTAAATTCAATGGAAAATTGTTCAATTAATTCAAGAACACTTCACCACCTATCAGTCACAATTTATACTTTTTTTGCAGCCTATGTAAAATATTCATAGTCAAATAGCTATGTACAAACAGAACCCATAAGCAGGGTTAGCCAAAACCATTGTAAAAAACTGAACATATTTGAATACTATATTGACAAAAATACCCCGAGGCCTCAAGTTATTGTCCCTAAATCAGTGACAGGATGAGAAAATCATGCTAGATAAAGTGAGACGAAAATGGAAAGGAGGAGGAGAGGATGACCTAGCTTGGTGAACTCGCCGGAGGCGAGGGAATCGGCGTAGTACTTATCGTTGTAGCGGACAGGGAAGAGGGCGGTGTTGAGCTTCTTCAGCTGCATCAAATTCTTGTCCCTTACTCCATCCAGTGAGATCGCCATTTCACGCCCCATTCTCGAGAACGCAGGTATAAAAGCCGTTCAGATTTTAGCCTTTACAGGTGGTTCGCCGGAGGGAGATTTTGAACCGCCGTCTGCACCACTCTCATCTGCCGGAGAAAGGGGTTTGACTTTTGAGACTTCTAGTAGGACTCATGGCATACATTAGGCCCACTTTCTCTTTATAAATGAAGGCCCGAATCAATTACGTACGACTCCCAAGTTCCCAACCATGACCCAAATCCTTACTCTAAAGTGTTTATTTTCCATTTAGATCACAAAAGCAACCGGTGGAATTCTAATGATATTGGAATCTCATGTCATGAGACAACTTGAATTGAGGGTATTCTCGTGTTCCGTTCGTAAAATTAACGATTCGTACCGACTTAACCTTCTGATAAACCCTTCCATCTTTCTTCGACCCGAACACATCTCCCACACCTTTCAATTACACTTCTCAAGTTTATAGTAAAACATCTGATATGATAGGTAGGTTAAGAATTAGTATGGGTAAAAATGATTTTTTAATAAAAATGAAAAAAAGTTTTCGGGGACAGATAAAAAAAAGAAAGAAAAAAAATTTTGTGAGACAGAAAGAGTATTAAGTTTTGATATAAGTTTAATGTTAATAGATTCATCTTGAAATAAAATTTAAAAATATAATATTTTATAAAATAAATCATATATACATAGAGATATTAATGGCCAAATAGCATAATTAGAAATTGTAAAAAAACAAACATAAGATATTTAATTAATTATAGGACGGAAGGAGTAGCATACACTAAAAACTCCAGATAAACAATAATGTTGATAATTAAACATAAAAACACAAGTTTAACACATCTCATACATGAAGAGGTTAATTAGCAATACATAAGTACCATCAAAGTAATTAAACTAATCCCCCAATGTACGTACAATGGCAACCTCAATCAACAATATAATAACAATACATCGTCGATGGTATTACACTTTATTTTGTGATGACATTATATTGCATTACTTGTATATTTATAAAACGTGCATGCACATGTCGCGCTCACTTTGACCGTTCAACCATGCATTAACGTTAGTGGATGGTTGAACAGTCAATTTGAGTGCTAATCTTAAAGGGCACGGCAATGTGACACTTGCCAGGGAGGCTCGCGGCTCGCGACATCTGGTCTGGAGTCGCGATTGGAGCCATGTTCTTCAAGCATGAACAGACGGTCTTGCGGGCCTTCACCCCCTGGGATTGGGCGGTTTTGAACACCGACTTAGCCCCGCCACAACACTCCTTTGTGAAATTTCCCAACCCCATGACGAAACCGAAGCAAGGGGTCAGGGTGCTCAGCACGGTGTTGCATGTGAGCTGTGCTTCTCCTGCGGCTGCCGCCATGGCGGTGCATAGGAGGAGCAGGATGGCCATTGTTGTTTGCTTCTTGTTTATTGATGGGAAGAAGAAAGACATTGTCAATGCACTTAATTAGGACTAAGTGATGGCTTGATGATGATATAAAGCAATATATATAGGCATATAGATGCTTATGGGTGATACACCCCCCTCCACCCAACTCTTGAAATTAGAACACAATTTCAATTAATAATTATTACCTGGTCCCACATTATTCGTCTAGTTTATATTTTTGAGGTCAAGTTGAATGAATAATACTCTATCCGTCCTTGAAAATATTTTTACTCTACCTAAAATATCTAATATACTTCCAAAACAACTTCTATCCACAATAAACTACATAATGAAATGTATTTTAGACATTTTAGGTGGAAATAAATGTATTTTATAGGGTATGGAAAAAATTAGGGCGAGATTGTTTTCAAGAACCGTGGAAATAACCATTAATTACATAAAATTTGAATTTTATATTGATTTAATAAAATAATTAATTATTTGGAAGTTTTATGAAAAATAAATCTAATGAACTAATTACTACTCCAAAATATGTAATACATGCAATTTTGTAATAAATTGACGAAATAAATGAATTGCAATACATAAGTGATCGAAATGTGCTTGAATACTACGAAATGCAATAATGTACGTTGCTGCTCGGAGAAATTGCTCAATTTTATATCAATACTCTGAACTATTAATTAAGCAAAATATGTGACATTTTTAATGATGACTATAAATGATAAAATACTCTGTATGTGTTAGTACCTACGAAGTAATGTTTCCTATAAAAAAGAATTTTGAAGTACATATTGCATACTCAAATTTATATTTGTCTGAGAGATCTTTAAAATAAAAAATTGTGACTATAATTTTATGTGAAACACGATTCTTATAATTTATCTTATTAAAATATAAACACTTTAAAATATAAACACTTTAAATATAAACACTTTGAATTTTTCCTTTAAATTATTACAATACAGAAGGGAAAAAAGAATATGAATTTTTTTTTTCTTTTGAAAATATCAACCATTTTGGATTGGGAATAAAATAAAAGGAGAATATAATTTTGAGGACGATTGGGTATTTTTATAAAATGCTCCCTCTATTCAAAAACTATGTTAAGTCTCCCACTACCACACGTTCTTGGAACATGTTAACTTTTTGTTTTCCTAAAATAATATTTTTGGTAAGTTCAAAAAGAAATAAAAAAATAAAAAAAATAAAAAAATAGAATAACAAAATGAAAAAAAATTGCAACATCTAAAAAAAAGGAATTTTCATAAATGGAGGGTCGTCAAAAATAATGTCGTCAGAGAGATTATTGAAGAGATTTGTCGTCAAAAAATAATGTCGCATTACATGGGGCGAGTTATTGCTGGCTACTTAATTATCGTTTACTAATTTCGTCACGAAGTATGGGTTAACTTTGACTTTTTAAATTAAGGCCTCGTTTGGTATACGAAATTCAAAATATGGAATTGGAATTGAAAATTGAAAATTTCAATTCCAATTATGGTGTTTGGTAGTACAAAAATTATGTAGATTTGGAATTGATAGTGCAAAAAATGAATTGAAATTGGTAGAATTCAATTCTATGAAATTGAATCCAATAGAATTTCAATTCTAATTCAATTCCAATTCCGTATACCAAACGGACCCTAAATTATGTGATCTTTTTTAGGAATAGATTATATATATGATCTTTGATGGTTAATTAATTAAATAAATTTTCTTCTTGGGAACTGAGAAATGCAAAATGTTGTATCGCGTAGTACTAGAGATACGGGTTTACTAAACTACCTATCAAGATCACTTCTATTCACTGTTAATCTACCCATCAAATTCTATTTTTACTCATCACATCTAAAGACATTTTTAGAAACTCTATACCAAAATACAGTTCTCTTAAATTTCTTAAAAATTCAAATTTCTGATATAGGATAATGTGAGGTAGAAGGGACAAACATATCAAAGATAATTATGGCATTGTGCCAGTCTCAATTTTTTACATTTCCGGGTCGGCCTTGCCCCTTTGGTCCTCTGTTTCTATATTTTTTTTTTGTTTGCAGCCAATGTCAAATATCCATGCCCAAATAATGTTGTATAAACAGAACCCTCAAGGAGGGTTAGCCAAAACCACTGCAAAAAATATTTGAAGAAATTTGATCTTTATACCGACCTGAGAGAATATGATGGAAATCCAGGAATTTGTTCATGTTGCACATATGATTTTGTCCTGACATTTGTGTTGAGTTGATTTTTTTGTGTGCTGACTTTCTGTGGACAAAATAAGCTATAACTTGTACATGAGATATCAGTGTATATTAATCCTTTGAATACTTTTTAGCATCAACATGTCTAGATGGATGTAGATGACGACCAAGAGTTATGGGAAAAATTCGGAAAATGGGTTACGTTGTTACTTGTGTTGGAGACTATGCTACACATGTTACTTTTCTTCTTTCATTAATTCGGGGCCAAATCACAAAAATGATGTGAGTATAATAAATAGAGACCTGTTGAATATTGGAATATTATTGTCTAACAAGACCATGAAAGGCAAAGTTCGATAAGACGTTTGACAAATATGAATAATGAGGATTGTCGTGAATAGTTACAAATGAGGAAAGGTGCATTTGCAGATCTTGTACATATTCTTAGAGGAAGAGGTCTTCTTCGAGATACTCGACATAAAGTCGCATAGAGGAGCAAGTAGCAAGGTCTCTTTATATAGTAGGTCACAATTTAAGGAATAGAAAAATTAAGTTTGATTCTAGGCATTCTAATGAAACTATACGTTGCCAATTCAAATAAGTGTTTAAAGCTACCATCTCTTTAGACGATTTGGTTTTAAAGCAACATGATGGAAAAAAGTCCCCAATAGAGATAAAGAACAACTCTATCTAGATACTATCCATATTTTAAGGTGATATAATTTTTTTACAAAAAAATACATAAATAATATTTATTTTAGTTATATCATAAGTCTCTTACAGGAGTGTATGTATAGGTGCACTTGATGGCTCACACTTTTTTTAAAAAAAAATTCAACTAAAAATTTGGTGAGCTTTGTGTGTATGTTCAGTGAGCTTTGCCTTGAAGAATGACGAGCTTTTTGGTTAAAGTTTGTGAGCACTGAAACTTTAAAATTTTTAAAATTCAAAGTATGAATACACACACACACACTTTGTATTAATAAATCAAAAGCTTCACAACAATTAATTAGAAGATCAGAACTCAGACATAATAAAAACACGGTACATTTTATAAATGAAGAGGTTAGGATACATAAGTACCATCAAAAGTAATTAAGCTAACCCCCCAATAATATACGTACAAAGGCAACCTCAATTCTTAACAATAACTTTTATTTTATTTTTTTATGGCATCACAATGCATATATAAAACATGCGTGCACACATGGAAGCTGATAGATAACTGGGAATCGAATTCCGAACATATCTTTGACCAGTCAACCATCGACGAACCTCACTTGATGAGTGAGCAGTCAACTTGGGGACTGATCTTGTAGGGTATGGAGACCCCACACTTTCCAGGGAGACTCGCGGCGCGCGATATCTGATCTGTGGTCGCGCTTGAAGCAATGCTCTTCAAGCACGAGCAGACGGTCTTGCGGGCCCCCACCCCCTGCGACTGGGCGGTGTTGAACAGCGACGTGATCCCGCCGCAGCAGCCCTGCGTGGGACCGCCTGATCCCGTGACGAAGCCGAGGCACGGGGTCAGGGAGTTCAGCACCGTGCTGCATGTGAGTTGTGCTTCTCCTACGTCCGCCGCCATGGCGGTGCAGAGGAGAAGCAGGATGGCCATTGTTGTTTGTTTCTTGTTCATTGATTGGAAGAAGGAAGCCATTGTTAATGCACTTGAAGAACAAGGGAGTGGTTGGTGATATTATTAAAAGATGATATGAGTACAAGCTAAGTGTTAATGTGGATGTATATATAGATGCTAGTTGGATGTATCCATGGGCCGGGTGATATAGTACTCTCTCTTGCTTAAAATTAAATTAGTACTCATTTTCGACCCAAAATTTAATTTAAACTATGAAATAAAAGTTAAAATTGTGTGATTTAAATTAGTATTTCCTTCATTCCTTAAAGTTCTTCTCATTTTGATTTTTAAGATAACTAATGGAGTGAAATTTTTGTGTTGACTTTCTAAAAATATCATTGATGTAATAGTTAAAAGTATGATAGGACTCGCAGATCATTAGTAAAAAAATATGATATATATGATATGTAGAATAAATATTAGTAAGGATATAAGTAATTTTTTTAATAGATATAGAAAACACTTTGTGGGACAAAAAGAAGAAGTGAAATTCGCACTGAATAGGACTAAAACATAAGTCATTTCCCAATGTAGGACTTAAACTTTTTTATTCCATAAGTAGGACTTAATAATGTCTAGTAAAAAGAATAATATCCAAGTGATGCTGGACATTTAGTTGAATAATGACTAATACATTATGACCAATGGTCATACATTGAGAAATAAAAACATATGGTCCTATATTGAGAAAGTCATTATGTTTTAATCCTATTTAGGTAAATTACCCAAAAAAGAAAGGATAAAGAGTTTATGAGACAAATGAAGTACAAAAAGTCTGAAAAATATGAATCACATATTTTGTTTTCAATTAAAAAATATACCCTCTCCCGTTTGGGGGAACACTTTCTAATTTGACCAAAGGCTTAAATAAGAAATTACTCCCTCCGTCCCCCTAAAATCTTCTCGTTTTGACTTTTTACGGTTTTTAAGGAGAGTTGAAAAAAGGTGAAAGTTTACCTAAATACCTTAATGAAAATGGGTGAGGTGTATTAAATAAGATGGAAAAGGTGTAATAAATAAAGTAAGTGGGGCCGTGGGAGTGGTTGTGGTATTTTAAATGTTAAAAAAGATAATGAAAAGATCTATGTGAGACAAACAAAAAGGCTAGTTGGAAGATCTATGGGAGACGAAGGGAGTATTATATTGTAGGTGACTTTCTTATTTTGTCTTTGATATGATGGTAAGAAACAAATAAAGGTAAAATTAAGTGTTAATAGATAGTGAAAATATT